TTTTCAGCTTCATCTATTTTTCCTCTAGGACTTTGGGCATTAAAGCTCTGTTCGGGTCGGGTTTGAGGTCAACCCGAACCGATAAATCCGAAAATCGTAAAATAGTTTTTCTAAGTTAGAGTTGTTCGGAAAGTAATTGTGTATATATTCACAAATTTTCGTTTAATCTGTGTTAATATTGAACGAGAAATAACGATTTTTAGGCTGACCCGAAATATTTCGGGTCGGGTCACGAATTGGACCCGACCCGATTGGAGCACTATTAGGTATTATGCGTACGTTTTTGTTTCGTTATAACATATCGTATCACATTCATTGTGAATACATGTAACTAATGGTTGATTTCGTAATACATGTACGTACGTACCAGCAAATGCTCCATCAGTACTCCTTTGACTTTGTCGTATATTTTTCAGTGACTTCCTTCCTTGTTTCTTCAATGTATTTTACGGTATGGAATTTGTTCGTACCGAAAAGATCTCTTCTCGGTATTTTCTGCCCAATCTTTCAATGCACTCGTTTTCTCTTTTTTTGATGTTTCGCTAACAGATTCTTTTTATGGATGATTTTGGCATTATCATATTTCAGCATATTTTTTTTGAAATCGTTCCTTCCTTGCGTGTTTTATTCCCCACTTTGTTTCTTGGTGGTTCATATTCCGGAGTAATTTCGCAGTCAATAAACATCAGCTGCTTCCTCAATGATTTTATTTATTCCATATTCGCGATTTTGATAAAAGTCGTTTAGTATTGGTTCCCAGTTTTTCGGTTGTTCTATAAAAGTTGTTATTGCCAGGCCAAACTGATGCATTTTTTCCACTACTGCTTTTACTTGTTCGGTTGTCCCTGCACCAATATTTCCGTCAATCACTATTTTTAACGGCATCATGTTGTGTAGTTTTAAAAGGTCCGGATATGCTGGTATAATTTTTTTCCGTTTGAAACTTCTTTGATGTATATTTTACGAATTTGTGAGCAATGTTCTATCACGAAATCAACCATTACATGTATTCGCAATAAATGTGGTATATATCGATATATAATGATAATGAAATTTATATCGATATGTTGCAACGAAACGAAAACGTACGCATAATGCATAATTTACTGCAAAGTTTTGGAGTAAAGATAGATGAAGCTGAAAC